TTTTTTTTTTGTATTTAGGGCAGGGTCTACAGTGTCTCACTGCATATATAGGATTCTTAGCGATTCTCCTGTTTACAACCTCCTAAGTGCTAGGATTACAGGCGCGTGCCACCATGCCTCATCTCAACTGCCGGCTCAGTGCACCCCAGGGGGCGGGGCCAGCATGGCAGGCCCAGGAATCGAACTCAGGACCCCTGCATCTGCCTAAGCAGGCGCTTTAATCCGCTGAGCTATCTGGCCGGCCACAACATCAAAAGGGAACAAAGATCTAAATATTAAAACAGAAACATTAAATCTGCCAGAAGATAGAATAGGTAGAACCCTGTCTGAACAAAACCCTGAATGCACAGGAAAAGCACAAAGAGAATAAACAACTGGGATCTCATCTGACTAAAACTTTTACACCGCAGGAGAAACCAACAGTGGAGAGCAGAGACAGCCCTCTGCCAGCTACTCCTCAAAGGACCACTATCTAGGACACGTAAAGGACTGAAATGTAAAGACCCAACCCAGAAATGGGCATCTGAGATGAGAAACACTCCTCAGATGAAGAGGTGCAAACAGCAAGCACATGAAAGAATGCTCAACGTCACTGTACATTCAAGAGGTGTAAATTAAGACATCACTTAAGATTCCATCTCAGTCCACAAAGGATGGCTATGATCAAGAAATCAACCAAGCTGGGGAGATGGCTCAGTGGAATAGGTGCTTCCCTGGCAAGCACAAGGGCCTGAGTTTGATCCCTGGTTAAAAAAAAAAAAAAAAAAAAAAAAGAAATCGACCAATACCAGATGCTAGCAGGGCTGTGGGGAAAAAGGAGCCCTTCGGGGCTGGGGAGATGGCTCAGTGGAATAAGCACTTGCCTGGCAAGTCAAGGGCCTGAGTTCAACCCCCGTTTCTGCCAAAAAAAAAAAGCAAGGAGCCCTTCAACACTGCTCTAGGAGTGCAGACTGCTGCCACCACTGTGGAAATCAGGGTGAGATTCCTGAAGACACTGGGACTCGAGGTTCCACTTGACCCCACGGTCCCCCTTCTTGGCAAAAGAATGAAAAGCATCACGCTACAGCAATATGTGTACACTCTTGTTTATA